ATGCCGCAGCGAAAGATCGCTTTCTCTCCCCCTCCCCCTCTTCTCTCTATTCCTTTATTTTTCACTTCTATTTTTATTTTTGTAACTCAACTGCATTATTTCTCCATCTTGCGATTGCATGTGCATTTTTTTCCCGTAAGTGAACGCACTCGGAAGTCCAACTGACCCACAGATGCACGCGGACAAATAATTAGTTCTTAATTCTTAAATCAAGAATAGATATTCTCATACATAATCAAGAATATTATAATCTTCTCAGAAGACTTTTAGTCTTAATTTGATTGAATTTTTACTGATGGAAGTATTGCTCGAACTCGATGCAAGATTAAAGATCCTCCTAAGAACATTACAGTACTCCTTGCTTACATACAAGAATTCCCGATTTAAGACTGCTCCTTTTTTCCCGCGCACGAATAAACGAACGTGTTTCCTCGTTTTTTTAGCCACTAGCACTCTCAGTAAGCCGCCGCTTACCCTTGGATTTAACGAAGTAGCGTCGATAACACTCGAGAATCTCAGCTATAAAGCTGCGGTTATTTTATTCCTCGGAAAGTCACGCGCCCGCACTTACGGGTCAAGCTGTTCGAGGGCGAGGCCCTCGAATGAACGCACCTATCTATCCGTCTATCTATCTCTCCCATTCACGTGCTCGAAGTTCCCGAGATAATCCCGCGTTGATGAAAATTTATGTGAGCGCGGTGGCCGCGAGAGAAACCGTTTCTTTTCCCGCTTCCTACGTCACGTAAGCCCGAGATAGCCGACGATAAAGTATCACCCGTTCGATATCTCCCGAGCACTTTACCCGCCATTTCGCTTTCCGTGCGTATACGTTGTTACACACATATTATTTGCCGCTGAATCGCGACGATTGAATCGCCGAGCCGGTAATTATCCGGCGGCGGAGCAGGTGCGCTTGACAAACCGCGGCGATCGCTCAATCCAATCCCCGCGGGAGCACCTCTAATTCGAGCTGCACGCTCGAGCGATATACCGAACCGCCGCGCGTCCGGGCTAATTAGATCGCTGTCGGCCCGTATCTATCGGCTCCTCAATTAGACTCTCCTTTCCAGCTAATTGTTCGGTGGCTGACGCGCGGGCTCCGCGCGGTTCTTAATCGAGCCGAATGTTAACGGACTCGCGGAAGTCGCTCTTTCGGCCTGCCGTCTCCTCATTGGTCTTTTGCTCTCGTGTTAACGCGAAACCGGCTGGTGCACGTGCTCGCGAACCTCTCGGCCGAGACGCCTCCTCGCACGCGTGTGTGTTCTCTCTTTCTTCGCCTCTCTCGTCTCCCCCCCTCTCACGTCTTTCAACACCACCCAATTAAAAATCTCATTTATCTTTTTATCCCCTCGCGATATTAATTTCACTCTCTTTCCACTCTCGGCGTCCGCCTCATGAATTTCTATCGCCACCACCATTACTCCCCCGTTCGCCATTAGCGCGCGCCTTTGTACGGCTGTCNCCCCCCGTTCCTCGTTATCCTCCCGACTCCCCGTCACGGAGAGCTCCTCGATTCTCGCGCGGGGGATCCTCGAAATCCACGTCTCGTCCACGGCCGCCGGGAAATCTCGAGTTCAAGCGACGCGACGGCACGAGCAAGATTGATAACGTCTCGTCGGCTCTCCGGATTTTTTAAAATAAATGAGTATCAATTGTACCGTATGAGGAGGAGGAGGGGGACAGAGAGGCCTTTTAGGGAAATGGAGATTACATAGGCACGAACGAATCGTGCCGGCACAATTACGGGTAATGATACTCGCGCCTTAAGTATCGCGCCGGGTATGCTCGTACTTCCCCGACGTCGTCGGCTCGCTCGGAGAATGGCACTTGCGCACGGCGGCATTACTTAAGCTGTCATTTTACGCGAACGTTGATCGCCGTTTCCGCGATTAGCCCGGCCTTTTCCCGAGAGAGAGAGAGAGAGAGAGACGGTTCTTCGTCCCGAAGGATCTGACCGTCGCGACCGGCCCGATAATAATAATCCACGGTAACATTAAAACACTTAATCGCCACCGTACGTTTACGAAAGATCTAAATCGGCCGGGCGTCGGCAAAAGATCGTCCTGCAGCAGTTCCTCGCCCTGACGGGGCAGCTTTCGGACGGTATTCCGTTTTTACGCGAGAGAAAGGAGCGGAAAGGACTTTTGTGCGTGCGATCGATCGTGATTTCGCGCGGAGTCCGATGCAAGGCACGACGCTATGCAGATGAGCGGCGGCGACGACGGACGCGAACCGGCTAATTTATAGTCACGTTCACCGTAAAATTATTCACTTGTCGCCGTATAATAATGTCTGCATCCGCGTCACGTCGCCGTGTGCCCGCCTCCCGGCGGCGATTCCTTTTTATTTCTCGCACCGGCGGCGATCTCACGGGCGAGTCTCGCTCGCTCGTCGCGAGGAGAACGCTTCCTCTCCTCACCCCACCCCCCGTAAATCACCGATCGCGTGTCGATCGCGCGCGCGGAATTTGCAACACGCGCGGGAGATCCCAGGGAGCGCCGAAAGAATAACGCGCTCGTGTCGTGATGATTTAATTTCTTACCTCGGGGAAGAATATCGTGCCGCCAAAAAATACCGTGATTTCTCGATCGGAGGGTGAGGGAAGGAGAAGGTAACGAGATCGACGAACACCTGTGTGTGCTGAATTATGCGTCCGCGTTTTCCGCATCGGTTGCGACGGCACATTCGAGCGAGCGAATAACATTATCCGCGTCTAACCGATGCGTAACAATGGCCGTGCTCATTTGAATTCCGCATAATTACACGCGCATCGTCCCTCCCCGATCGAGCGTCGCGAGGTGTCGGCGCATTGGGCGATTAATCACTCGCTGAGAAGGGTATCGCTCGCCAACCATTTCCGCCCGCCCCGGAAAGTGGATCAAGGAGTGCGCAACGCCCGGTCTGACAGGCCGCCGACAGATACGAGCGGAGAGTGCAGCTTTGTTTCAAAATGATAGATGTCCCGTGAACGGAACATACGGCACCGCTGCGCCGTCATTGCATATTCAATTTGCCGTCGTTATTCGCGCGGAAGGAATGGAAAAGCGTCGCGATATTCGCTCGCGTTCAGATTATCGCCGGCGTGAACTCTCTCGCGGACTCTCGGACGAAAGTTCAGCCGGGGATGGTAAAGCCGGTGGAACATCGAAGCCGTTCCCGCGTCTTATCTCGGCGACGAACAATGGTGGCGAATCAACGGCCGGCGAAAGTTTATCGGCCGGTGCAATTTAAAAGAGTGACGTTGCTGAACAAGGACAATGGCCGCGGCGTGACACTAAACAAAACAGTGTCGGGGGATAAAGTGAGCGGCTTCGCTCGCAGAAGGAGAAACGAGAGAATCACACACATACACTCACGTCGCGATCACTCGAGGGATCGTTCCGACGTGTCGGCTAATAGCGGCGCTTTCGGCGGAGCGTTCGACGTGCGCCATCCAACATAAAACCGCCCCGCACATCACATTGTATAACTGTAATGGATCGCTGTCGACGTCGCTGTTATCTAACGCGCGGACGCCGATTGTTGTAACGCTCCCCGATCATCGTCCGATCATCGTCGATGCGCCGGTGCTCGATTAAAAAGAGCCCGGCTCAATTAACGTCGCGATGCCTATTCCGCGGAGTGACGCCTCAATGGAAGCATCGATCGGAACCGATCGCCTAGATAGATCTTCCTCAGGATCGTTAACACGGTCCTTCCACGTAGGAAGTCGGGGCGGGAGAGCGCGTTTCGCACCTTGCGTTCTCTTGGACGACCGTGACGATTTGTTATAGTCAATTAATGGCACTTTGCCCACCGACGATCGCCATTGTTTGCGGCGCATAAATCAAAAGGTGAATCGCGCGCTCGAGGCTGCCAATAACGGCGTAAACATATAACGACCTGCGCTGGTAGACAGTCATTATCTAAATAATGACTTGCGCGATTGAAACGAATCGTAAGGTGAATTTCGCTATCGTGCGGGTTACGAGGTAACCAGCGTTATCCCGCCCATCGTGTGAATATATCGCCGCCGATATTTCTCTTTTGTTTTTCGTCACTCACCGAAACAACTGGCAGTCAAGGCCGGTCACATCGCTCTGCGAATCTAAAATCAAAAAATGGAGATTTATCGATTGGACGTGAAAATTTACTTTAACGAGTATGGATGAATGTATAAGTATGTAGGAAGAGATTAAGCTCCTGGGATCGTAACTCAAGCCATACCGACTTATATCTCAGTTTTAGTTCGCAAAGGGTTAAAGGGAGTTAAAAGGGAGAAGTACAGGAGAGTCATAAAGTCATGTCATAAATTGTAACTTAACTATAAATATAAGCCGTAAAGTTATAAATTTACCTTCGAGTCAAGACTGCTCGAACCGGGTCCTACGGTACGGCGCGTCCGCCGGCATTGCTGCCTTCACTATATAGTCGCCAGATCTGAAGCAAAAATATAATTTTCTTCTGGTTAGTAAGTAGCGGTAAAGAGCTTGTTCAGTTTCCACGAGAATACGGAAGTACGGTGGTAGCAGGGAGGTAATAAGAAATGTAAGGTGCGATTATGTTCCGCAGAAAATGAATTTCGGCATTCCCACGTTTTCCAGACGACAGTGGACAATTTTTCACGAGCAAAATATAATTCTGTTTCTGCGATCGATGAAAGCGCCTTGCACCGTGTCTAAACTATTGAACTCGCGGCCGGTAACGTGAGATTTTACAGAAACGCTTTTGTTCCTTAATAATATAAGCTATCCTTTCTGCAACTCCTGTTTCTAAACGTTCAAGTTAAAGATTATATTTTGCTCGTGCAAAATTGTCCACTGTCGTCTGGAAAACGTGGGAAGGTCGGGGAATGCCAAAATTCATTTTCTGCGGCAACCCTGATTTAAGAAAGAAACACAATCGCACCTTATATTTTTTATTACCTCCCTGTACCACCGTACTTCCGTATTCTCGTGGAAACTGAACAAGCTCTTTATTGCTAATTACTAACTAAGAACAAAATTATATTTTTGTTTCAGATCTGGCGACTATATGGCGAAAGCAGCGATCCCGACGGACGTGCGCGTACGCCGTACCGGAGGATCTGGTTCGGGCAGAGCAGGCTTGACTCGAAGGTAAATTTATAACTTTACGGTATATATTTATAGTTAAGTTATAATTTATGACTTGACTTTCTATTAGCAAGATAAATCCCACGATAGAGATCGACGTCTCAGTCAATGATAGGAGCGATCCAATCGCGATTGAAACAAGATAGACATAGTAGGGACTTGCATGACGCTTAATTCACCATTCGTCAAGTAACAAAGCTGGCTTTGTGCCAGCTTCGTTCGAGAGATACTCGAGTCAAAATGTTGCTTCTACGATAACCCCAGATACCTATCGAACTTGAAGAATCAACGGAGAAAACCTCCACGAAACAGCGGTCAGTAGCGATTTGTAATCTATGTCTAGTCTACGTCTAGATTGTTGTCTTTTGCAAAAGAGTCTCCAGACTGTACGTCGCGTCACTGGGTCCTCCCAGTTTCGATAAGATCTATAGGTTTTCTTTTTGTCTTTCTTTTGTATAGAACTGAAATCTCGAGCCGAGTTATCTCGTGATCATGTCCCGCAAATATCAGATCTTTCCTCGGAGGACTATGCATTCGTCTCGACGACACACAATGTGACACGAGAAACTGTAAGCCGATAAAATGGGTAAACCGTCGGATAACAAAGGGCTGTCGCCGGGCACATTGTTCTAAATTTTGCAATCGATGACCCTCGAGATGCGGTCGACCGGTTGGTCCGGCCGACGGCGCCCACGCCGACATCATCCACACGTGCAGCGCACACACACAGAAACACACCGGGCCCTCTTCTTCCTTTTCCACTACCGATTCCTCGAGGCTCACGCGAGCTTGTCACGGTGTCAGGTACATAATGGCTGGAAACACCCACGCCTTTGCTCCGCACCTACAGTCCACTCGAGTCCGAGAAACATGTACGCGGTAACGCTTTGCGTTTTTCCTTGCGCGCTCGCCTCAACTTCGTCTTTGATCCGCGCGATTTGCAAAAAAGAAAGGATAGTAGTGGTGCATACGACTGCTTCGGCGAGTGTCGAGAATCGATCGTGTCAGGCCGGCTCGGTATTTTTCAAAGAAAGCGAAACTATGCTCGAGCCGGCGAGAGTCGCGATCCGTTCTCTGCGCGAAATGGCGAGCATAACCGTCAGCGATACAGCGTGAGTTTCCGATAAGGCGAGTATATTGTAGAAACTCGCGCGCGAGGCGTTTACCCTCCAGAGAGAGCATCCGGGATCTCCGGGAATCAATTTTTTCGGGGCGGTCTTCAAGGCGCGCGCGTTGACTTCCCACCGGTAGGAAAGGACGGTAGTCACGAATGCAGATCGAGGATACACGGTTAACGGAATTACGGAATCACGAAGCCCCCCACACCGGTAGCGCGGTCATCACCGTGCCGTTGCACTTTCCGGACATACCTGTTTAAATTACGGCCCCCGTTCGTCCAGCTGATAAGATAGGCAACCGATGCGCTCACCTCGCGCTTTACACTGATCGATACTTGATAACGTAGGCCCGTTAATGTCGCGGGATTCCAATAAATCTCACTTTTTACGCACCTTGCAGCACCGTTCGCGCATTATCTTAACCATCGTTCGTTCGTTCGTACGCGTCTGTTGCGATTTTTAATGTTCTAAGATATGCAATATATATATATATATATATATACGTGTATATATATATATATATACACGTTCCCGAGAAAGTTCCACTTGTAGAGATCGAAATTTTCTTTTAGAATAAAAATGTGAAATCTGCAAGGAAAACTTGGAATGATCTTTTTTAACGCAACGCTACATGCAAAAGAGCATCACGTTTCACTGAGGTGGGCGGAATATTTAAATATGAGCGGGTTATGGAGTAGTTTCTCTCTCGACAATGGAAAGTGGCTAACGCCCCGTGTACGTTTAAGACCGAGAAAATATCTCGGTGCGTATCGACATTATTACCCTCTCGCAAGATATCCCTCCCCCTCTCTCTCTCTCTCTTTCTCTCCCTCCCCCCTCTCTATTTCTCTCTCTCGCTATCGACGTCTTTGTGCGATTCTTAATGGCCAAAAATTAGTTCTCAATGATTCTGTTTTACCTTATACATTGACAGATAAATATTTTTTTTGTATTTGTAAATATAATCATCATAGTGAAAGAATTATAATCTAACAGAAAGCAAATAAAAAAAGATCTAATGGAAAGAAGATTAGATAGATAAAAATAGAAAAAAAATTATAGCCAGGAGGACCATTTTTATAATAAGTGCTATTATCTATGATAACAACTATCTGTCTTACATATATGTTACTACTTAGTTAAAAGCATAAAAAGGATACAGTTGGGGGCGGAAAATAACTATAATTCCTTTCCGTATATGTCATTCTTTATGGGAGCGTATAAAATTAGACAAAACTTCGGAAATTCTTTTTTTTCAATTTATGTGTCACCCTTTATAGGTGTATAAAATCCCACTGATGGAACATTATCAATTAATTTCGGCGCCAAACCTATTTTATAGCATCAGCGACGTGCATGTAAGGTTATTATAACTGACTATTACAATAACTTACATCACGGACACTTACTGGGAAAGTGGCTCTCCCGACTACTTTGCGATTAAAGGATACGCTTGGCGCCGGGACTAATTATAATTTTCTATCGGTGCACGATTCGAGAGTGCATCCGCGTTAAAAAGCCGGCAGTTGTCGACCGAGCGTCATCGGTAACGCGATTTCGGCGACTCGGCCCTTTCTGTCCGAGACGGACAGGTAGACAGGTCTGAGCTCCGCGTTGAGAGACAGTGCCGATTGTGGGCGAGCTCTCGGCATTGTCGTCATCGCGAGAAAGTATCTCCCAGGTAGACGGGTGGAGATTCAATTGCGCGCGTACAGTTAGCGCACGTGGGCGATAATAACGCCGCGTGCGTTCGCGAAGAAATGCCGACGCCCCTTTTGGTCCCTTTGCCGTAATCTCCCTTCGCGCGCATCGGGCCGTGCCCACGTCGGCCTGCCGACGTGCCTTCTCTCGCGCAGAGCCGCTCACTTACGGGCCACGAAGGGCAGCTCTTTATTTCTCCATTGCGCGCGACCCATTGTCGCGAGGTTAAGAAAAATGAAGCCCGCTCGAGAAACGAGGTCGAACTCATTGGCGGCTGGGAGCGCACGATTGGCCGATAGGAGGCACACATTACCCGCGCGCGCGTGTTTCATAATGCTCGGGACAGCGTAGCGTGTCACTTCGCTCGCGAGGATACGCGAGAGACTTTTCCTAGGCGTGCGCGCATAACACACACCCGGCGCGATGTCGCGATTAGAAAGGGAAAGAGAGAGAGAGAGAGAGAGTGACACGTACAGATTTATCGTCCCCGGCTTAATTGATTTTACGTCAAGTATCGTCGAAGTCTATCCGACGACGAGCGGATAACGTACATAATATTTCCTTAAAGATCAGACTTACCATTGCACTTCACAATGACGCGAATCGCGAAGGTAATCACGGGTCAACGTGGGCTTTACGATAGAAGGATGGAGGGGAAAGAGTCCGCCGCGATCTGACCGCACAACTGTCTCGCTCCACTCGCGATCCTCGGTCTCCGCATAATATTGGAACGACGAATCACGAGTCGCCGTCTCGTCGCGCCGCAGACCACAATCGTAAGGATTCCTACGGGAAGTGAATGTCGCTTTCGTCGTGCCCCGTGCTTATCGGCCGGCCGATTGTACTGACTCCGGCGCTCCCCCCCCCTCCCTTGAATCGTCTTTTCTTCGCCTCTCACTCCATTCATGCGATTTCACTTATGCCACTTAAATCGCGCGTCATCGCGCTCACCTGTCTCGTTTATTAAGCCACTCGGCTCAGCGAGCGAGCGCGCACGATCGCCTGCGCGATTTACCATTACGCATTGTGTATCGCTCGCGTCTTACCTGCGCATTTCGTCCCGCCTCTCGCAGCTAAGCCCCCGATCACCACCTCCGAGGCGGTAAAAACGAGGTAAGAAGCCGCGGTGTGTAACTTAAGAAACCTGGCGACGCTCGGCAAAATTCTTCGGCTCTCCCGGTCGGCCAGAAGAGAGAGAGAGAGAGAGAAGCGCACGAGGAGGAGCGTCGGTAGCGCGAGATTTATTAGATCGACTTTCTAAGCGCGAAGGAGAGAGGGAGACCTCCCGGCCGTCCAAAGCAATTCCGATATCGGCGGAATTTGCGAAATACGATCCGCCGAGCAGCCGTGAATGGGATCGCGAAGTGAAGTTAACTGGACTCGTTATCGGGTAATTAGCGAGCGGGCCGTTTCTCCTGTTTCCCGCGCTTCTGGATTCCTTTTAATTCGCGGTGGGAGAGCAATTTTACCCGATACACGATCAGTGCCGCTCGATGCACTATCGTTACCGCGCGCCGAGACGCTGAGAACTTGTATCTCTATAACTTGCTCGGCGATCAAGTGTGCGTTGATATGGGGAGGGAGGGAGAGGGACTTCGGTTAGAATTAACTCTACAATTTATCGGCTTCCGACCTACACCCGTGTATGTTAATAAAGCCTGCCGTTAAGACTCAGCGGAACACGCTCGAGAACGAGACGCTCCGAGTGGGATGACGGAGGTAAAATTGATACGATGTGAGAAGTTCGCGAGGGAAGGGGGGATTCGCGCCGAAGAGATATCCGGTTGGAGCGCGAGAGATCGCTGAATCGGAAGCGAGTCCAGCCTGACGTCGCCTGAGTCGCGTGAGTTCGCTTCGTCTGTTCGCCCGTCTTCCGGGCAATCGAGCGCGCGCAGCCCTGAAGTACCGGCGTGATGCGCCCCGAGGCGCGCAACGTTAAGGATCTTCGCGCGCCGTGGGACGTCGAGCGCGAAGATCCGTCTGCCGGGAAACGCCGCGGTAACTACCTTGCACCCGAGTTTCTAAGTAACCTTCCGCTGTCTCTCGAACCTTCAGGGTGCGAGGGGCGGCCTGAAGGCGGCGGCCGGTTACGCGCGAGAACTCGCCTGATCCTCAAGTATCGTTCACATCGCCGTTTTATCCACGCAACGACCGATCTCTCGACTAGGATCCGGTGCGATGTTC